AATCTTTGACCCAACTCTTACTACCAGTTATTAGACACACACACACATATACACACATACACACACAGCGCCACCACCACCTTGTGTGCACATTTACTCATTTTGGCTGGGTCAGATAGCTGGAAGCAGTGGTTCAAACCTGTATGTGTCAGACACAAAGTGTTTGTTCAGATGTCATTCTGACCACGTTTTCTATTATAATAGTTGTGACCTATAAAGTTGTGTTTCAAGACTCGCCTAGTGGTTCAGGCCTATAGTGAAAGGACCAGTGTTGGCAGAAGACACCCAAACTACCTTCTCAGCACAAAGGAAAATTAATTGTCCCAGAGAAAAAACGGCCGGGAATAAGAGACAAACACAAGAGATAGAAGACAAGGGAGACAAGGACAGGAACAAGGGAAAGGGGCAGGATGAGGGACATAGAATTGCCATTAGATAGAAAGGAGACAGGTGTGGGCCATAGGAAAATGGAGGTTTAAAAAGTACAAGGGGGCCCAACCAGAGTCACCCCACCCAGAGACTGCCAACATCCAAGTCCCATTCTCCACCCATAGGAAAGATGAGGTAAGTATGAGCCTGTTCCCATACCATGCACAGAACTACCTCAGACCTACGGCCTGCTCACTGCAGATCCAATCCCAACAGGGTCCAGCCTACCCAAAGACTGCTAAGGCCCTGGGATGAGAACTGACTCCATCCATGAAAGAGGAGAACCAACAGAGTACTGAACCTGCTTCCACCTACCAGAAGGGAACCATGGTCACATATCCACCAGGAGAGGAAAAGACACCTTCTGCACCCACTGGAAAAAGTTATCAGAAGGAGACAATATAAAAACACAATCAGCAACAGAAAAACCAATATGACACCAACAGAGTCCAGAGACTCTACACAAGCAAGACCTGAAATCCCCAATGCAGATAAAACAAGAGAATGACCATAAAAACAATTTCATGAAAATGATAGAGATGCTCAAAGAGGAAATGAGAAAATCCATTAAAGAAATGGAAGGAAAAACTAACCAAAAATGCAAGAAATGGAAGAAAAAAACAAAAAATGCAAGAAAGGAAGGAAAAGATCCAGCAAAAATTGAAAGAAACAATTCTGACAGTGCAATGGTTGAAATCTGAAATAGAGACAATAAAAATATACATCCAAAGGGATGCCAGATATAGAAAAGATGGGCAAATGTTAAGGTACTACAGATGCAAGCATAACCAACAGGATGCAAGAGATGGAGAGAGACTCTCAGGTGTTGAAGATACACTAGGAAAAATAGATACATTGACCAAAGAAAATCTTAAGTGCAACAAATCCCTAACACAAAATATCCAGGAAATATGGGACACTGTGAAAAGACCAAACCTTAAAAAATTAGGTATACAAGAAGGTGAAGAAAACCACCTCAAACGGGCAGAAAACATATTCAACAAAATCATAAAAGAAAACTTTAACAACCTCAAGAAAGACATGCCAATGAATGTACAAGAAGCTTACAGAACACCAAATAGTGTGGACTACAAAAAAATCCACTCGCTATATATTAATCAAGAGCCCAAATATACAGAATAAAAAAAAGAATATTAAGAGCAGCTAAGGAAAAAGGTCAAGTAACATACAAAGGCAAACCTATCAGAATTACACCTGACTTCTCCATGGAAACTCTGAAAGCCAGAAGGTCCTGGATAGATATTCTACCAACACTAAGAGACCACAGATTCCATCTGAGACTATAATACCCAGAAAGTTTGCAATCACTATAGATAGAGAAAATAAGATATTCCATGACAATATCAGATTTAAACAATATGTATCCACTGATACAGCCCTACAGAAAGTTCTGGAAGGAAAACTCAAACCCAAGGAAGTTAACTACAACCAGAAAAGCATAGGCAAAAGGTAATCATTTTACGAACAGCCAAAAGAAAAAAGGGGTGAAAATCCACACAATTCCACCTAAAACAACAACTCCAAAACAAACAAAAATGAGCAATCAATGGTAATTAATATCCCTCTTTATTAATGGTCTTAATTCACCCATAAAAGACACAGGTGAACAGAATGGATTCGAAGACAGAATCCATCCTTCTCCTGCATACAAGAAACACACCGCAGCTTCAAAGACAGACATTAACTCAGAGTTAATGGTTGGGAAAAGATTTTCCAATCAACTAGACCCAAGATGCAAGCAGGGGTAGCAATACTAGTATCTAACAAATTAGACTTTAAAATAAAATCAATCAAAAGAAATGATTGATTTCATACTCATCACAGGAGAAACCCACCAAGATTCTTGGTTCTGAACATGTATGGCCCAAATACAAGGGCATGCATGTTAGTAAAAGAAATATTATTAAAACTCAAATCACACATAAAACCTCACACACTTAATGTGGGAGACTTTAACACTCCAGTCTCACCACTAGACAGGACCACCAGACAGAAACTTAACAAAGAAGTGTAAAACCTCGGCATCAAAGCGCCGGGCACTGGACCGAATCCTCTGCCCAAGGACGGGGCCAGACCACTGGATGCAAATGCAAGAGGCGATTTATTGGGTACACAGGCGCCTGCGGATGCTACTGCAACTCGGGTGCAGAGCATACCGGGCTTGTAGGGAGTACACTATTTATGGAGTTTTAATGATTACATAAGTATCAGCATAGCAACAGGTATTTCATTGGCTACTGAAGCATGGGCTGAGATCATCTGGGGGGGGCAGGGGTAGTTGCCAAGGACTAGGTTTCCTACATGAAAGACCCCGGCATGCTTCAACAATTAGTATCCGGGTCCTATGATTGCTACAGTGATCAGACAGAATTGGGGGCCAGGGTAGTTGCCAAGGACTAGGTTTTCTAGTATTGTCATATGAAAGTTCCCAGCACGCTTCAGCAATTAGTATCCGGGTCTCATGATTGCTATAGTGAGTAGAGACATCCTGTTTTGAGGGTGAGACACCTGTCTGGGTTTTTCCACTAGGCAATGGCTTGGCTTTGTTTTTCTTTTTCCTAGGGGGGCCCTGAGTAGGGGTCTTTCATTCCCCCCCTTGTTCTTGTGCATAGGTAGAATCTTTTACCTATTGCCCAGCCCTCTTTACTTAAGGTTTACTTATGGTTCCGTCTGTTTGAGGGCATGGTATTTTTGAGTTAAGACTAAGGCTTGAATTATTGTTAATCTATCTTTTATAAATTGAACTAGTTTGTTGAGAATGCAGGGCCCAAAGGTTAACACAAATATGAAAATAATTAGGGGGCCCATAAGAGTAGAGACCAATGTAGCGAACCAGGGGGATTTGTTAAACCAACCCTCATACCAGTATTGTTGAGATTCAGAATTCTTTCGACGGACAGTCAGCCTCTCCTTGAGTTTATCCAAAGTTTCAGTTACTACCCCAGTTTTGTCTGCGTAGAAACAACATTCTTCTTTGAGGGCGGCACATAAGCCTCCTTGTCTAAGAAATAGGAGGTCTAGTCCTCTCCTATTCTGTAGGACCAATTCAGATAATGAAATCAAAGAGTCCTTGAGGGCTCTAACTGATTTTTCTAAGGCCTGTAGATCCTCATTTATGGCTGCCTGGAGCTGTATATTTTGATTGCTCCGAAGTAAGGCAGTGGTCCCGGTCCCTATACCAGCCGCTATCCCCCCCACTCCCAGGAGAAGAGCTAATGTTACTGAAACAGGTTCCCTTCTGAATCGATAACGATTCTCAAAGTACCCTAGCACAGTCTCTGAGGAGTGGTAGGTTATGTGGGGCCATAGCTGGACAAGTACACAATAATCAGCTGTAATGTTAAGAACCAATACTGAGACGCAAGGAGTTAGTCCTGTATTGCAGGCCCAATAAGTCCCGTTAGGGCCGGTCAGGTATGAGTTGCTGGGAGTTACTGAGACTGTACGGTTACATAGTTTTTGAGACGATCTGGGAACATTTCCAAGACATAGTCCTCGCCCAGTCACCTGGGGCAGAGTTAGTTTATGATTAAGTGTTTCGCTGCATCGGGAAGGGGGAGATGTATAGCTGATAAGGTCAGAGTCCAATGCCAAGCTCTCATAATAAGGGGGAGCCGCTGTCAAGCAGAGCCAACAATCCTCCGCCTTATCAGGATGGGTTTCGTTTAGCGCTTGGTGGGGTCCTCTGATTAAGTTCAATAGTCTACCGGTAGAACTGAGCTTTGGTCTAGGGGGTAGAGTGGCATTGCTATGCCCGGTAGCATGGGTAGGTAGGGTGGTGACAGATGGCAAGGGGTTTGGCTTGGGTCTAGGGAGGTTCTGGGATGGCCTCTCCGGTTGGTCGAGTAGCACAGAGTTTGGCCCAATAGAGGCCATAGCTGTGGGGAAAATGGTTCTGGAGATTAGGAAGGTGGCTGCGGGGTCCATTCCAGTACGATACAGCCGTAGCCCCCAGGCCTTGGGGGCACCCCATGCTGACCGTTTAGCAGCCTCCGTAAAAGTGATAATTAGGGGGTTGCATCTTCCTCCAGGGGTGCTACCCTGGAGTTTGGAACTTGAATCATGGCATGGTCCACAATCCTGCCCCCCACAAGTCCAGGGGCCATCTCCATTATACCCCGGGATAGTTCCTCGTTGGAGGGTGATTAAGTCCCAGGAAGAAGTGGGTTTCCAATAGGTGGTCCCGGTGGTCTCACATCCCCATTCAGCACAATACCCATCTCCCGGTCCACCACATCTATGTTGGAGCTCTTTATCACGGTTATGTCCTGGGCAAGCATATATGTCAAGTTTGCGTGTGGATATGCGCTGGCCCGTGTGTTGACAGCCATAGCCGGGGAAGAGTGCTTGTTCTGAGTGATCCCATCGCTTACCCACTAGGTCGCAAAGATCTACATGCAAAGGGGGAAAGGTTGCATTTATAACACCCCGCATGGTAGTGGAGTTAGCTACTGCCCCGGTGTCCTGATTGATAATCTTCCAAGTTATTTTATATACGGCATGGGGGCTCTCTAGTGTATCACCAGCTAGCAGTAATAAAATCAAGCATATTATTGGCGTATTAATCTTATCTTTAAAGGGTTTTGAGAGCGTTGGGGCCTCCATGACTCTGGATTTCTTTGGGCTGGCGTATCGGTGCAGTGCTCTGGTCTGGCGGCCTTGACGTGTGAGGCGTGGATCCAGGCAGCGATGCCGTCTACCTTCAAAGCAGTGGGGGTAGTCAGAAGTACAGTATAGGGTCCTTTCCAGCGAGGTTCTAGGTTCTTGATCTGGTGTCTCTGGACCCAGACGGTGTCACCGATTTTAAAGGGATGAGGTACGGAGAGAGATTCTATCCCTTTCTGGTAGGCCGCTGCTATTGGCTTCCAGACCTCCTGTTGCACCAATTGCAGGGCCTGCAGATGGGCCTGCATGGAAGGGGAAGTGGCAAAATCAGAAATATCAGTATCAAAGAAGGTGATGGCAGGGGGTGGAGCCCCATATAAAATTTCAAATGGGGTCAAACCATGTGGGCCAGGTGTGTTTCTGGCCCGGTATAAGGCTAGAGGCAGGAGTTGTACCCAGTCTTTAGAGCCAGTTTCAAGTGATAATTTGGTTAAAACTTCCTTAATTGTTCTATTCATTCTTTCTACCTGTCCTGAACTTTGGGGTCTGTAAGCACAATGTAATTTCCAATCAATTCCCAAGAGCTTAGCCACCAACTGACTCACCTGGGAGACAAAGGCAGGCCCGTTATCCGACCCTAATACCTGTGGCATCCCGTATCTGGGGAAGATTTCTTCCAGAAGCTTCTTGGTGACCATTTTCGCGGTTTCGTGTTTGGTGGGTAAGGCCTCCACCCATCTGGAGAAAGTATCTACAAAGACTAGTAGGTATCTGTAACCATACATCCCGGGCTTGATCTCCGTAAAATCTACCCCCCAATGATTCCCAGGGCGATGACCTCGGAGGCGCTTTCCTTGACCTGAATTGACCTGCGCACAAACCCTGCAATTTTCAGTTACTTGTTGCAGCAGCATGTCTCTCTGTGGCAGGTGTAAGCTCATGGTTCCCCGCTCTAATAGGGTTTTCATCTTTTGCTTGCTCAAATGGGTTAACTTATGAAGGCGCTCAATTAACTCTTTAGCTGCCTTTATGGGTATTACATACAGTCTTTCCTTGGTGGGTCCAGCAATTGCGGACTGAGTCATAGTCAGCTCCTAATCTCTGGACGAGGTCCAGGTCCTCGTCCGTATACTCCCAGACAGGGATTGATTTGCCAGTTGGCACGGCGACAGTTAACAGTTGAGGTCCCAGCGCTGCCTGCTTAGCTGCCTCATCGGCTCGGCGATTTCCTATGGCCTCAGGGCTGTCCCCTTTTTGATGCCCTGGACAGTGTATTATGCTCAATTTCTTTGGGAGAAATAATGCTTTTAAAAGGGCTAAAATTTCATTTTTATTCTTGATCTCTTTGCCTTCTGAAGTTAAAAGTCCTCTCCTCTTGTATATTTCCCCATGTATGTGGGCTGTAGCAAAGGCATACCGGCTATCAGTGTAAACATTGAGTTTTTTACCTGCTGCCATCTGGAGTGCTTGGGTTAGGGCAATCAATTCCACACGTTGAGCGGAGGTGCCGGCTGGAAGTGCGCTGGCCCAGATTACCTGGGTGGTGTCCGCTACTGCTGCCCCTGCCCGCCGCTCTCCATTCAGCAGATAGCTGCTGCCGTCTGTGTACCAAGTGAAGTCTGCATCCTTAAGCGGCTGATCGGTCAGATCAGGCCGAGTTCCGTGCGTTTCCGCAAGGATCTGTTGGCAGTCGTGGGATGTGGGCCCTACTGGCAAGGGCAGCAGGGTCGCCGGGTTAAGGGTGACAGCTGGCCCAAACTGGATCCTGTCAGCATCCAGGAGCAGGGACTGGTAGTGGGTTAGTCGAGCGTTGGACAGCCAGCGGTCGGGAGGCTGGCGGACCAGAGACTCAATGGCATGCGGTGCCACGATAGTTAATGGCAGTCCCAAGGTTAATTTAGACGCATCTTTGGTGAGAACAGCAATAGCAGCTACCATCCTTAGGCATGGAGGCCACCCTGCTGCAACTGGGTCCAGCTTTTTTGATAAGTATGCAATAGGGCGCCTCCAGGGTCCGAGTCTTTGGGTTAAAACTCCTTTAGCAAAGCCCTGCCTCTCATCCGCATAGAGTTCAAAGGGCTTAGTTATGTCGGGCAGGCCCAGGGCCCGGGAGGAAAGCAAAGCTTGTTTAATGTCATCAAAGGCCTGTTGGTGTTCCTCCACCCAAACGAAGGGGGTGTCTGATTTAGTTATCTTGTAAAGGGGTGCTGCCATTTCAGCGAACCCCGGAATCCATAGCCGGCAAAATCCGGCTGTCCCCAGAAACTCCCGCAACTGGCGGGAGCTTTGGGGGGTTGGGATGCGGGATATGGTCTCCTTGCGTGCGGTGGTTAGCCATCTCTGACCATTTTGAAGTTCATACCCCAAATAAGTAACTTTTTCCCGACAGATCTGGGCTTTCTTTGCGGAAGCCCCGTATCCCAACTGCCCCAGGGTCAATAGGAGGGCCTCGGTACCTGCATGACAGTTCTCCTCGTTGGTGGCAGCCAACAGAATATCATCCACATATTGGAGCAGGATCAATGACGGATGTCTGATGCGAAAATCTGCCAAGTCGTGGTGGAGGGCCTCATCGAAGAGGGTGGGGCTATTTTTGAACCCTTGTGGCAATCGGGTCCAGGTCAATTGCCCTGATACTCCTAATGTAGGGTCTTTCCATTCAAATGCAAATAAGGGCTGGCTTTGCGCACTGAGCCTTAAACAAAAAAATGCGTCCTTCAGGTCAAGGACAGTATACCATTGATGTGTCGGCGGCAAAGTGCTCAGCAGGTTGTAAGGATTAGGCACTGTGGGGTGGATGTCTTCCACCCTTTTATTGACCTCTCTGAGATCTTGGACTGGGCGGTAATCCCCTGTTCCTGGTTTCTTGACAGGAAGGAGGGGAGTGTTCCAAGGGGAACGGCAGGGGGTTAATATCCCCTGGTCCAAGAGTCTTTTTATGTGTGGCTTTATCCCTTCATAGGCCTCCTTGGTCATGGGATACTGCTTTATGGAGACTGGGGTTGCTGTTGCTTTTAAGTTTATAACAAGGGGCGGTTGGTGCCTTGCTAGCCCCATCCCCCCAGTCTCTGCCCAGGCCAAGGGATACCTTTTGATCCAGTACTCTAGATTTTCAGTTGGTTTGAGTGGTGGATCGAAAAGTCGGTACTCGTCCTCCAGTTGTAGGGTGAGGACCTGGAGGGGGGTCCCGTTAGGGCCTGATATGGTGGCCCTTGATCCTTCGAAATGTATTTGGGCTCTTAGCTTGGTCAATAAGTCTCTCCCCAGGAGCGGATAGGGGCAATCAGGAACATGTAGAAAGGAGTGGGAGACTTTACCTGAGGCCAGGTGAACTTTCCTTTCTGTGGTCCAGTGATACTGCTTTTCTCCGGTAGCCCCTTGTACCCAGGCAGTTCGGCTGCTCAGGAGTCCTTGGGTACTAGTGAGCACTGAGTGTTGAGCTCCAGTGTCCACTAGAAAGGTGATGCGTTGCTCCCCAACTTGTAAAGTTATCTGGAGCTCAGGGGGGAGCAGCTGGCCCTGACTTCCTCAGTCTTCACCGAGGGCTAGTAACTGGGCTTATTGGTCAGGCCTTCTTTTTGGCCCCCTTGGTCGATTTGGGCAGTCTCTGATCCAATGACCCTTTTCTTTGCAGTAGGCACACTGGTCTCGATCCACCCGGTGCCTTCTTATATCTCCCTTCCTTTCCTGTCTCCCTGTGCCTGTGTTATTCTGTACTACGGTGGCCAAGAGTTTACTAAGTTCCCTATGGCGTTTTCGATCTTTTTCTTTTTCTCTATTCTCTAATTCCTTTTTTAGTCTTTCCTCTCTTTCCTCCTGTAATTTTCTAAGTCTTTCTTCCTTCTCTTCAGGAGTTTCTCTTTTGTTGAAAACCCTCTCTGCCTCTTTCAATAAATCAGGCAAGGTATAATCTTGCAGATTGTCTAGTCTCTGCAACTTATTGCGGATATCTGGTGCCGATTGCCATATGAAGGCCATCAGTACATTGCCCCTTTGTGCATCACTTTCAGGGTCGAAGGAGGTGTACATACGGTAGGCCTCTTTCAGACGCTCCAGAAAAGCAGTAGGAGTTTCCTCCATTCCCTGACTAACCTGTCTTACCTGAGCCAAATTGGTAGGTCGGCGTCCAGCGCCATGAAGACCCATTATTAATAACTGGCGGTAAAGACGTAGTTGAAATCCCATTCAGGGCGAGTTAAGGGAAAAGCAGCATCGATTTCATTGGGGAGTTGAGTGGGTCGCCCATCATCGCCCGGGACGTTCTTCCTGGCCTCCAGGAACACTCTTTTTCTTCTGAAGTTAAGAGTGCCTGTAAAAGCTGCTGACAATCGTCCCATGTGGGCTGGTGGGTTATAAGGATCGATTCAATCAGGTTTGTGAGAACCATAGGATCCTTGGAAAAAGAGGGGTTGTGAGATCTCCAATTGTACAAGTCAGAGGCAGAAAAAGGCCAATACTGGTATTGGTTCCCTGGGCCCCCCGTTTGGCGCAAGGGGAAAGCTCTAGAGGTTCCCCCTGACTGGGTGGGTTCCCTTTTCCCTCTCAGCCTCCCAGCTACTGGGGAGTCTGATTCCTCCTCGCCCAGTGTGGGGGTTGTGCTATCCGGTTTTTCTCCTTCCTCCTTATCCCAAGCAGCTCGGGCGGGAAGGGGTGGAGCTGGCTGATATGGTGGTGGCTCTTCTGTAAGCAAGTCTATGAGAACCGAGTCATCTGGGGGTAGTACAGGTTTATACTTAGGGGGTTTAGAGGGGGAGTTCTTCTCTAGAACAGGATAGAGGTGATGGTCTGGAGCCGGGACAGGGACCAAGGGTGAAGAAGGAGGGAGGGGAGGAGCCGATGGTTTCTCCGAGACCGCCTTCGGAGGAGGTCGGAGAGTCACAAACGGGGCTGCCCATGTCGGAGGGTCTGTAGCCAAATTTTCCCAAACAACAATGTATGCTATTTGGTCCAAGTGTCCATGGGGTTCCTTATCGAAGACCCGATCCTTAACCTGTAAGATAATTTCTAGGTTAAAAGTCCCATCCCGTGGCCAGCCCACATCAAAAGTTGGCCATTCAGATGTGCAGTAAAATTGACATTTTCTGTTTTTGACGTTCATTGACTGGTTAGAGGCGCGGGTCTGCACTTCATTCCAATGATCTAAAGTAAGGCTCAGAGGGGTGGTTATGGTTTGTCCCATGCTTGAAACAGAAAACTAAAAACACAAAGACAAGCAGACAAACAAGACAAATGACACAATTAAGCAACTCACAACCAGACACGCTGCGCGCTTTCGGCGGAGCACCGAAAGTAAATATTCAGACGGGCCAACGTATCCGCTGGATACGTAGTGAGCTTTAAACAACTGGGCCCCCAGATCCCTGGCACGTCTGCCAGGGTGGCGGGGGAGAAGTCTTGAGCTCGTCAGCTCCTTCTCAAGCCGCCTCTGATTACTGACTGGCTACGTAGCCTATCTTTCAAACGCTGCGCGGAGACAGATCAACATACATATACATAACAAGGCACAAAGCAGATTGGATGCCGGCGGCTAGCTTACCTCCCGGTGGCACTGGCGGTCCTGGGGCAGATATCTCGGTGGAACCTCCAATGTAAAACCTCGGCATCAAAGCACCGGGCACCGGACCGAATCCTCTGCCCAAGGACGGGGCCAGACCACTGGATGCAAATGCAAGAGGCGATTTATTGGGTACACAGGTGCCTGCGGATGCTACTGCAACTCGGGTGCAGAGCATACCGGGCTTGTAGGGAGTACACTATTTATGGAGTTTTAATGATTACATAAGTATCAGCATAGCAACAGGTATTTCATTGGCTACTGAAGCATGGGCTGAGATCATCTGGGGGGGCAGGGGTAGTTGCCAAGGACTAGGTTTCCTACATGAAAGACCCCGGCATGCTTCAACAATTAGTATCCGGGTCCTATGATTGCTACAGTGATCAGACAGAATTGGGGGCCAGGGTAGTTGCCAAGGACTAGGTTTTCTAGTATTGTCATATGAAAGTTCCCAGCACGCTTCAGCAATTAGTATCCGGGTCTCATGATTGCTATAGTGAGTAGAGACATCCTGTTTTGAGGGTGAGACACCTGTCTGGGTTTTTCCACTAGGCAATGGCTTGGCTTTGTTTTACTTTTTCCTAGGGGGGGCCCTGAGTAGGGGTCTTTCAGAAGCAGAGGAACTAATAGAAGCTATGACCCAATTTGGTTTAACAGACATCTATAGAACATTTCATCCAAACTCAAAAGAATACACCTTCTCAGCACCACATGGAACCTTCTCAAAAAACTGACCACATACTTGGCAACATATCAAACCTCAAAAGATACAAAAAATTGGAATAACTTCATATACCTTATCAGACCGCCATACGTTAAAGTTAGATTCAACAACAACACAAATTGCAGAAACCCTACAAACTCATGGAAATTGAATAATGCGCAATTGCACCATTCCTGGGTCAAGGAAGAAATAAAGAAATTAAAAAATTGGTTAGTTTGGACAGAGGTTTGTCTATTTTGTTGATTTTCTCAAAGAACCAACTCTTTGTTTCATTGATTCTTCTCAGTGTTTTCCTGGTTTCTACTTGATTGATTTCAGCCCTCAATTTGATTATTTCCTCGCGTCTGCTCCTCCTGGGGGAGTTTGCTTCTTTTTGTTCTAGAACATTCAGCTGTGCTATTAATTCTCTAGTATGACTGTTCTCCAGTTTTTTCATGTGGGCACTTAGTGCTATAAACTTTCCTCTCAGCACTGCTTTCAAAGTGTCCCATAAGTTTGTGTATGTTGTGTCTTCATTCTCATTGAAATCGAGGAAGTCTTTAATTTCTTTTTTTATTTGTTCCTTTACCCAGGGATGGTGCAACTGTGCATTGTTCAATCTCCATGAGTTTGTAGGGTTTCTGTGATTTGTGTTATTGTTGAATTCTAATGTTAATGCATGGTGGTCTGATAAGATGCAGGGGGTTATTCCAATTTTTTTGTATCTGTGGAGATTTGCTATGTTTCCTATTATGTGGTCAATTTTAGAGAAGGTTCCATGTGGTGCCAAGAAGAAGGTATATCCCTTTGTATTTGGGTGGAGTGTTCTATAGATGTCTGTTAAACCCAGTTGGGTCATAACTTCTATTAATTCTTTTGTTTCTTTGTTAAGTTTCTGTCTGGAGGTCCTGTCTAGCGGTGAGAGCAGAGTGTTGAAGTCTCCTACTATTAGTGTGTGAGATTTTATGTGCATTTTGAGCTTTAGTAATGTTTCTTTCACGAATGTAGGTGCCTTTGTATTTGGGGCGTAGATGTTTAAAATCGAGACTTCGTCTTGATGTAGTTTTCCTTTGATGAATATGAAGTGCCCTTCTCCATCTCCTTTGATTGATTTTAATTTGAAGTCTAATTTGTTAGACCACCTCGAATGCCCATTCCTGATAATGAACTTGATGTCTATAACCATCCGGGAGCCTTCATCCTGTGACTGATGGAAGCAGAGGCAAACACACAACTAATCACTGAACTGAACCCAAGGAACCCAGTGACAGAGAGAGAGGAGTGATGAGCAAATTGGCAAAGAATGGGCTGGCAAATCCAGCAGAGACAGCTGATCTGAACAGGGGAGAGCTCTTGGATCCCAGACCGACAGTGGGAAGGCCAGCATGGGACTGATCTGGACCCCCCAAATGTGAGTGTCAGTGAGAAGGCCTGGGCAACCTATGGGGCCCTGAGCTGTGGATCAGTGTCTATCCCTGGTATACAAACTGTCTTCATGTGCCTATAGCACAAAGAGAGATGCTCTCTCAGCCTGGACTCTTAGGGGAGTGCCTTGACCCTACCAAGAGTAAAATGACAGACTCCAGATATCCCCTATGTGGAAGGATTTGGCAATAGGGTGGGAGGGAGGGGGGAAGGGGAGTGCGGGAAGAGGGGAGGGAGAGGGAACTGGGATTGACATGTAAAACAAGCTATTTAAAATTAAAATAAAAAATGATAAAAAAATAAATTAAAAAATTCCTAGAATTCAATGAGAATGATGACACAACATACCCAAACTTATAGGACACTTGGAAAGCAGTGCTAACTGCCCACATGAATAAATTGGAGAATAGTCACACTAGAGAATTAACAGCACAACTGAAAGCTCTAGAATACAAAGAAGCAAACTCACCCCAGAGGAATAGATGCCAGGAAACAATCAAATTGAGGACTGAAATCAATAAAATAGAAACTAGGAAAACAATACAAAGAATCAATGTAACAAAGAGTTGGTTCTTTGAGCAAAACAACAAGAAAGACAAACATTTTATCCAAACTTACCAAAGGATGGGGTGTGAACATGCAAATTAACAAAATCAGAAATGAAAAAGAGGACATAATGGACACTTAGGAAATCCAGAGAATCATCAGGTGTTACTCTGAAAATCTGTACTCCACAAAACTTGAAAATTTAAAAGAAATGGACAATTTTTGGATAGACATAATTTGTCAAAATTAAATCAAGAACAGATAAGCAATTTAAATAGACATATAATCACTAAGGAAAAAGAAGCAGTTATCAAAAGTCTTCCAACCAAAAACAGCCCAGGTCCAGATGGCCTTAATGCAGCATTCTACCAAAAATTCAAAGAACAGCTTATATCAATTATCCTCAAAGTTTTCCATGCAATAGAAGCAGAAGGGTCTTTGCCAAACTCTTTTTACTGGGCTTCAATAACCTTGATAACCAAGCCAAACAAAGACACAACTAAGAAAGAGAACTTCAGACCAATATACCTCATGAACATTGATAAAAAAATACTCAATGAGCTACTGGCAAATAGGATCCAAGAACACATCAGAAAAATCATCCACCATGATTAAGAAGGCTTCGTTCCAGGGATGCAGGGATGGTTCAACATGTGAAAATCCATCAATATAATCCACCATATACTCAAGATGACAAACAAAAATCACATGATTATCTCACTAGATGCTGAAAAAGCCTTTGACAAAATCCAATACCACTTCATGACAAAGGTATTGGAGAGATCAGGAATAACAGAAACATATCTAAACATAATAATAGATATATACAGCAAACATCAAACTAAATGGACAGAAACTCAATGCAATTCCTCTAAAATCAAGACCAAGACAAGGCTGTCCACTCTCTCCATTCCTCTTCAATATTATAACTGAAGTTCTAACTAGAGCAATAAGAAAACAAAAGGAGATCCAGAAAATACAAATTGGAAAGGCAGAGGTCAAACTTTCGCTATTTCCAGATGATATGATAATTTACATAAGTGACCCAAAGAATTCTTGCAACTGATAAATACCTTCAGCAAAGTGGCAAGATACAAGATCATCTCAAAAAAATCAGTAGCCCTACTATATACAGACGACAAGAGGGCCACAAACAACATAAAATGCCTTGGGGTAGTGCTAACCAAACAAGTGAAAGGCCTGTATCACAAGAACTTTGAGTCTTTAAAGAAAGAATTTAAAGAAGACACCAGAAAATGGAAAGATCTCCCATGTTCTTGGCTAGGTAGGATCAATGTAATAAAAATGGCAATCTTACAAAAAACATTTGCACATTCAATGCAATCCCCACTAAAATCCCAGCACAATTCTTCGCAGACCTTGAGAGAACAATAATCAACATTATATAGAACAATAAAAGGCCCAGAATAGCCAAATCAACCCTGTTCAACAAAGCAAAGTCCGCAGGCATCAGCATCCATGACTTCAAGCTCTATTATGGAGCTATAGTCCTTAAAACAGCTTGGTATTGGCACAAAATTAGACAGAACAGTGGAATTGAATTGAAGACCCAGATATGAATCCATCCATATATGAACACCTGATGTTTGACAAAGAAGCTAAAATTATGCAATGGAAAACAGAAAGCATCTTCAACAAATCGTGCTGGCAGAACTGGATGTGAGCATGTAGAAGACTGCAGAGAGATCCATGTCTATCGCCATGCATAAAGCATAAGTCCAAATGGATCAAAGACCTCAACATAAACCACAGTGAACCTCTTAGAAGAGAAAGTGGGTGGTACAGGAGACAGCTTCCTGAACATAACTCCAGTAGCAGAGACACTGAAATGGACAATTAATAAATGGGATCTCCTGAAACTGAGAAGCTTCTGTAAGGCAAAGGACACAGTCAACAAAACAAAACAGCAGCCCACATCTGACAGAGGGGTGTTGATCTGCAAAATTTACAAAGAACTCAAAAAGCAAGTCACTAAAACACCAAAGGATCCAGGTAAAAGTGGGGTACAGAACTAAACAGACAATTCTCATTAGAGGAGTCAAAAATGGCTGAGAAACACTAAAGAAAGTCCTCAGCATCCCTAGCCATAAGGGAAATGCTAATCAAAACAACTCTGAGATACCATCTTACTTCTGTCAGAATGGCTAAAATCAAAAATACCAATGCTGGAGCACATGAGGAGAAAGGGGAACACTCCTACACTGCTGGTGGGAGTGCCACGTACAGTCTGCCACTTTGGAAATCAGTATGGAGACACCAGGAAAATGAGAATCGGTTTACCACAAGACCCAGCAATTCCACACTTAGGCATATACCCAAAAGACGTACATTCATACAACAAGGATGTGTGTTCCACTATATTTATAGCAGCATTATTTGTAATAGCCAGAACTTGGAAGCAGCCTAGATGACCCTCAGCTGAAGAGTGGATAGAGAAAATGTGGTATATTTAAGCGTTGGAGTACTGTTCAGAGTAAAAAAAAAAATGGAATCTTTAAATAGACGGCCTAGAAGAAACCATCCTGAGTGAAGTAACCCAGTCACAAAAAGGCAAACATGGTATGTACTCACTCATATATGGATTTAGACATGAATTAGGGGAGTAAGAACCTACAATCCCACTGCTAGGGAGTCTGGAAAACAGAACCTTCATCCAGTGACTGATGGAAGTGGAGGCAGACACCCACAGCTAAACAGGGAACTGAACTCATGGAATCCAGTGACAGAGAGGGAGGAATGATGAGCAAAGGGGTCAAGACTGGGCTGGTTTAACCCACAGAAACAGCTGACCAGACTAATGGCTGGGCGGCCAGCATAGGACTGATCCAGACCCCCTGAATGTGGTATCAGTGAGAAGGCCTAGATAATCTATGGGGCTTGGGTAGTAGATCCATATTTATCCCTGACATACAATGTAGTACTGTGAAGCAGAAAATATGCAGAGCCAAGAAAATATCAAATATGAATGTTATTTGAAAATATGCTATTGTATTTCCCTGCAAAGGAGGGAGAGAAGAAGGCATGAGGTTAGGTTGACAAAATAGCCCAGTAGTTTCAATCCTGAGAGCTCTGCAGCCATGGAGATGGGATGCTGTGCAAGGGATGACGCTGAGGCACAGAATCATGTGGGAACAGGTCCTACCCTCCTGTGTAGTCCTGGCTGGCTGGGAACTCACTGTGTCACCAAGTTCTGGGGTTACAGGAATACAACAACATTGTTTTTTATGCATAAAATATTCATTTTACTCAACAGTGGCTTAAAAAGGGGAATCAGTATATACAGTGTTTAGCCTTAGGCGACTGTTCAAACAATGACAGAAACAAAATTATTAACAAAAAATAACAACACTTCAAACCAAAGCAAAGTAAACTAAAAATCCTAATCAAGCAATACCAGAGCCTACACCAGACCCCCTAATTAAGCTACAAATATTCTCTCACTCTAGACACCTTTCCAAAAGCAACTCAGAGGTCCTATATAAATCCCTTCTCAGGACTGGTCATAGCAGTGAAACTGGAGAATCCCAGTCATTTTATTCATGGACGATCCAACCACTAACACAAGGTGTGAGGAGTGCTGTAGTCTCCGTAGTGCATTCTCTTCAGCAGCGCAGTCATGTGATGTGGAGTTGGCTTCAGCCCTGCACTGGAGAGGCAATCCTATTATTTTCCATGTGTATGTATAGCTAACAGCATGACATCGACACAGCCTGTCTAGTCAGAGCTCTCACCACACATGGAGGACTCAGACAGCTTTCTAAAGACGTGGAGAGTGAACCGGCAGAGTGACTTCTGCTCAGCAACGTGTGGTCCCGGTGCTGCCGTGCCCCACTCGGGGTTCTGAGTAAATCTGGAAGGGTCCTCTGAATCGCAAGCTTCTTTCTGATGATTTATTTTCTCCAGGAATAGTCAACAATCAGACACATGGATCAGAAAGGGGACAGATCCCCTGATAGTAGGTTTTAGTTTTCCATACTGGTTAGTTCACAGTTACAAGGAAGTGTCTTTTTTGAGCAAGACTTGATGCTAGAGTCGAAAATATGTGTGGCTTCCTTCACCATCCTCAGTTCTTGCAAGGGGTGCTGTCAGAGAAGGAAAGGCAATCAGTCCCATAGGCAGCCTAACTCACAGGAAACAATGTCAAGGAAGAAAACCCACCCCATGAATGTCAACGCTGCAGGGGTAGGAGTCAATGGTGCTCACTTACACTCAGTGCTCCTGCTGCAGCGTCTCCATCTGCAGGAGGTTCTCACCCTGGGCTGTGGTCTGTTCCAGTTCATGCTGGAGGTTTTCAAACCTAGGGGAGGAAGACAGCCGGGACAGAAGCCTAGTGGGCACCTGCCATGCTAGCTTTTGAGCTCCCACCAGCTCTGCTCGGGTGGACAGCCCAGCATTATGTTTCAGCCAAGCCCATCCAGTCCTTGCTTCCTCAAAAGACAAGGGTAAGGCAGCACCTGGACTGGATTTTCTCTCCACCTTAAAAAACTTTTAGAGATTGAACTGAGAAATACAAGCTGTGCTGAACTAGAAAAACAGACTTTCCCCAAACATTCAGATACAATAGTTTGAAAAATAGCAGCATACCAATATCTGAGTCACAGTTAGTAGAGATATGCATGGTCTTGAAAAGATGCCAGGTAACAGTGAGGAACCTGGGAACCTAAATGTATGGGGCCCTCTAGCAGAGTCTACACAACACTGCAGTGAAGGCTCTGTTTATTCCTTCAGCACAGGAACTTCCTTGGGTTCAATATGTCAAACTCTAAACCTGCTTAATTCCAGAGAAACCTTACAGGAAACAGATGCTCGCTGCAGCGAAGCCATACTCAGTAAGAAGGTACTGCATGCAAATCTTCCCGAGGGTAGGGACTCATCTCTAAAGGTGATATCCTGAAGGAAAATAGAGTGGCAGGAGGACACATTGTCCTCCACCATTAACACTCTCCCTGTGAGGTCTGCGGTTGCCATAGGAAGGAGCAATGCACTCAGAACACAGGAGAGGACACAGAAGGGAAAAAAGGGAAACAATCCCCAGGAAGATTCAGGAAAATGCATAGAGTTTCCTGGTGACTGAGCCAGCCCTGTACTCTCAGGGGTTCTTTCCCTGTCTGTGACTGAAAGGCCATGCAGATGGCCAGAAACCCAAATAGGACAGAGATTCAGGTACAGGGGAACTACTCACTGCCACTGCCTCCTGCTGGCCTGGGCTCCTACCTCATCTGGGAGACAGTGAGGTGATGCTGCAGCTTCTCTGCCATGATCATTTGCTTGGTGACCAGATCTCTCTGCTTCAGCAGGTATTGCAATCTTTCCTCCAGTTTCTCCCGTTTCTGTTTATTAGATGATTATGTTCTTAGTGGATGGTAGAACACTCATATGCACACAGACATGCACACGCCTGAAGACACACTCATGCAAGTGTGTACACACAAAAGCATACCACATTGCATTCACATTTTTAGTTTCCCAGATAACACTAAGGTAAGAAGTGATTAATTTAAGAAGAACTAGTTAATTAATTGGAGAAGTTTAATTAATATAAGAAGGATCTTTGAGAAGAATCTTAACATTTCTTGGATAGAAGAACACAGAGGGAAGGGTAGATAAGCATCCCAGTCAATGAAGTGCTTGCTTGTAAATCCAGTGCACAAGCACATGGACTGCTGGTGTGCTTGGTCTATGGGCTATCTCTGCTTATCAAGTTCCCCAGTCTGTGCCCTAAAGACCTGGTTCCTCAGGACAACTGGATGGTGGTGGACCAGGCCCTTGCACTCATTCGTGCTTCCCAGTTTCTCCACAGTAAGCAGATTCCTGCAAGAGGAGCTCCTAAGCCACAGGCTGCCTCACTTCAGACACAAAGCAGTGAGCCCAGGAAACTAGAAAATCTCCACAACCAGGAGCCAATATAAACCTTTCCTCCCTGAAACATGACTGTGTCAGAGATTTGTTTGAGTGACAGAAGGCTGACTAACTCACAGTCAAGTAATATATATATATATAATTTCCTGTTGAACAATATTCAGTGGAAACTATGGACTATAATGTACTGTTACATTCACAGATGTTGGGTATCTGAACAGTTTTGACTTCAGGGCTGCTCTGAAGAGGGCTGATGATGTACCCCTGTTTTACTATGAACAACTATTTTCTATTCTGGAATTACTGGGTTACTTGGGGACTGCAGTTCAACTTACTGAAAATTTGTACATTGCTTCTCATGGGACTACACCAATTTACAATAGCAGCAATGTTTGAGAATCGTCCTTTCTCCTAACCCTCCATAAGCCCATTCTAACTAAGACTGAACACTTTAGAAAAGCAGTTGTTGAGTGATGCAGACACAGCAGAGGGCGAGTGCTTTAGACTATAATGAGCCTAAGGGAGCTGCACTGAGACAGCCTTATTCTCACACCTCAGCATGGCTACGGAACTTCTGCTGGACTGAGATGCAACCACAAGCACCTCTGCAATTCAGAGGTTACCTGAAAAGAATTTCTCTTCAAATAAATATTTCAATCTCTGCAAAAACCTGAAAAATTGTTACCTTACATCAGTTTCCATTCTGATTTCTTTCTCAGACCATTGCCAAATAAGTGAAAGACCTGTATAAACAAGAACTTTGAGTCTTTAAAGAAGGAAATTAAAGAAGATACCAGAAAATGGAAGGATCTCACATGCTCTTGGATAGAAAGGATCAACACAGTAAAAATGGAAATCTTACCAAAAGCAATCTATAGATTAAATGCAATCTCCATCAAAATACCAGAACAATTATTCACAGACCTTGGAAGAACAATACCCAAATTTATATGGGAAAACAAAACACCCAAGATAGCCAAAACAGCCCTGTACAGTAAAGGAACTTCTGGAGGCATCACCATCACTGACTTCAAGCTCTATTATAGAGCTATAGTAATGAAAAAAGCTTGGTATTGTCATAAAAAAACAAGACAGCTGGACCAATGGAATTGAACTGAAGATGGTGAATTGAAGACCCTGATATTAACCCACACACCTATGAACACCTGATGTTTGAAAAAGAAGCAAAAACTATACAGTGGGAAAAAGAAACCTTCTTCAACAAACGGTGCTGGAATAACTGGATGCTGGCATGGAGTAGACTGCAGATAGATTCATATCTATCACCATGCACAAAACTTAAGTCCCAGTGGATCAAAGACCTCAACATAAATCCAGCCACACTGAACCTCTTAGAAGAAAAAGTGGGAGTTACCCTTGAGTGAACTGGTACAGGAGACAGCTTCCTGAACATAACAGCAGTGGCACAGACGGTGAGATCGACAATTAATAAATGTGACCTAATGAAATTGAGAAGTTTTTGTAAGGCAAAGGACACAGTCAACAAGACAAAACAGCAGTCCACAGAATGGGAAAATATCTTCACCAACTACACATGTGACAGAGGGCTGATCTCCAAAATATACAAAGAACACAAGAAGCTAGTCACCAAAACACCAAATAAACCAATTAAAAAGTGGGGTACAGAACTAAACAGAGAATTCTCAATAGAGGAACCTAAAATGACTGAAAGCCACTTAAGAAAGGGCTCAACATCCTTAGCCGTTAGGGAAATGCAAATCAAAACAACTCTGAGATACTATCTCACACCTGTCAGAATGGCTAATATCAAAAATACCAATGTCAGTTTATGCTGGAGAGGATATGGAGAAAGGGGAACACTCCTCCACTGCTTGTAGGAGTGCAAACTCATACAGCCACTTTGGAAATGAGTATGGCAGTTCCTCAGGAACATGAGAATCAGCAATACCATCCTTTGGCATATACCCAAAGGATGCACATTTTTACAACAAGGACATCTGTTCAAATGTTCATAGCAGCATTATTTGTAATAGCCAGAATATGGAAGCAACCTAGATGCCCTTCAACTGAAGAATGGATAAAGAAAATGTGGGACATTTACACAATGAAGTACTATTCAGCAGAAAAAAACAATGGAATCTTGAAATTCACTAGAAGAAAACATCCTGAATGAAATAATTCAGTCACATAACGAAAAACATGGTATGTACTCACTCATATGCGGACATTAAATTTAGATCAAAGGATTACCAGCATGCAATCCACACCCCCAGAGAAGCTAGGATACAAGGAGAACCCCAAGAGAGACATACATGGTCCCCTGGGGAAGGGGAATTGCCAGCAATGGGTAGGGAAGATGGAGGTAGGAGATAGGAAAGTGAAGAATAGGAGGGAGAGGAGAACATGAAGGACCAGGAAGATTGAGTCGGGGGAAGAACAGTGGAGAGCAAAAAAAAAAAAAAAAAAAAAAGAGATACCTTAAGGCAGGGCACCATTATAAGTATACAGAGAAATTTGGCATTCAGGACATGCCCAGAGATCTACAAGGATGACCCCAAATAAGAATCTAAGCAATAGTGGAGAGGCTACTTTAAATGCCCTTCCCCTATAATGAGATTGATGACTGCCTTACATGCCATCCTAAAGCCTTCATCCAGTAGCTGATGGAAGCAGAAGCAGAGACCCACAGCTAAGCACTGTGCAGATTTCCTGGAATCCAGTTGTACAGAGGGAGGAGTGATGAGCAAAGAGGTCAAGACCAGGCTGGAGAAACCCACAGAAACAGTTGACCTGAACACAGGGGAGCTCATGGTCCTCAGACTGACAGCTGAAAAATTCTCATAGGACTAAACCAGACCCCCTGAATGTGGGTGTCAGTTAGGAGACCTGGGCAGTCTATAGTGCCTCTGGTAATGGAACAGTATTTAACCACAGTGTACAAATAGACTTTTAGCAGCCCATTCCCCATAGAGGGATAGTCTCTCCACTAAAACACACTGGGGATGGCCTAGGCCCTGTGCCAAATGATGTGACAGACTTTGGTGATCCCCCATTGAAGACCTCAGCCTTCATGGGTAGCAGAAGGGGGATGTTTTGTGGGGTAGCTGGAGGGCATGAGTGTTGGTGAGGAAGAGGGAACTGGAATTGATATATAAAATAATATCATTTCTAATTTAAATAAAAAAGAGGAATGTTCATAGCACTAAGAACCTAAGTTAAGAAAAAAATGTAGAGTTCTCATACTAGCAACTTAATAGAACACTTCAAATCTATAGAACAAAAAGAAAGTAAGCACATCAAAAGGAGCAAACTATAATAAATAATCAAGCTGATGGCTTAAATCAACAAAATAGAAATAAAAAGAACTATATTAAAATAAAAGCAATGACTTGCTTCTTGAGTTCTTTGTAAATTTTGGAGATCAGCCCTCTGTCAGATGTGGTGTTAGTGAATATCATTTACAATCTGCGGGATGCCTTTTTGTCTTGCTGACTGTGTCCTTTGCCCTACAGAAGCTTCTCAGTTTCAGGAGGTCCCATTTATTAATTGTCAATCTGATTGTTTTTGCTACTGGTGTTATGTTCAGGAAGCAGTCTCCTGTTCCAATTCATTCAAGGGTACCTCCCACTTTCTCTTCTAACAGGTTCAGTGTGGCTGGATTTATGTTGAGGTCTTTGATCCATTTGGACTTAAGTTTTGTGCATAGAAATAGACATGGATCTATCTGCAGTCTTCTACATGCCAATATCCAGTTATGCCAGCACCATTTGTTGAAGACAATATCTTTTTTCCATTGTATAATTTTAGCTTCTTTGTGGAAAATCAGGTGTTCATAGGTTTGTCAAAGCAAGTCTCCAAAACACCAAAGGATCCCATTAAATAGTAGGGGACTGAACTAAATAGAGAATTCTCAATAGAGGAGTCTAAAATGGCTGAGAGACACTTAAGAAAGTGATCAACATCCTTAGCCATTAGGTAAATGCAAATCAAAACAACTCTGAGATACCATCTTACTCCTGTCAGAATGGCTAAAATCAAAAACACCAATGACAATTTATGCTGGAGAGGATGTGGAGAAGGGGAAACAGTCCTCCATTGCTGATGGGAGTGCTGTGGAAATCATTATGGAGATTCCTCAGGAAAATGGGACTCAATCTACTACTATACCCAGAAACTCCACTCTTAGGCATATACCCCAAAGATGCCCATTCATACAACAAGGATGACTGTTCTGCTATGTTCATAGCAGCAATATTTCTAATAGCCAGAATGAGGAAGCAACCTAGATGACCCACAACTGAAGAGTGGATAGAGAAAATGTGTTACATTTACACGATGGAGTACTACTCAGAGTAAAAAAACAATGGAATCTGGAAATTTACAGGCAAATGGATGGCACTAGAAGAAACCATCCTGAGTGAGGTAACCCAGTCACAAAAAGACAAACATGGTATGAACTCACTCATATATTTATTTTAGAAACGGATCAGGGGAGTGTCAGCCTACAATCCCAGTGAGTCTGGAAAACAGGTTGGTTCCCAAGTGATATGCATGATACTCTAGAGAAGGGGAATGAGGCAAGATGTGGGGAAGGGAGAGGGAACCAGGAAAAGGAGATGGGGGAAGAGGAGGGGAGAAGACATGGGGGAGCAGGAAGCTTGAGTCGGGGTAAGAATAGAGGAAAGCACAATGAGAGATACCATAATAGATGGAGTCATTATAGGCTTGGGGAGAGAGCTGACACTAGTGAGATCTCCAGAGATCTACAAGGATAACACCAACTGGCAAACTAAGCAATAGTGGAGAGACTACATTAATAGCCCCTCCCTGATGATAAGATTGATTACTACCATATATGTCATCCTAGAGCCTTCATGCAGTGACTGATGGAAGCAGAGGCAGATACAGCTAAACACTGAACTGAACTCCTGACAGAGATAGAGGAGTGATGAGTAAAGGGGTCAAGACCGTGCTGCTGAAATCCACAAAGACAGCTGATGGGACAAAGGGGAGCTCTTCAACCCCAGACTGATGGCTGAGTGGCCAGCAGGGGACTGATCCAGACTCCATGAATGTAGTGTCAGTGAGGAAGCCTCAGCAATCTCTGGGGCCTTGGGTACGAATGAACTTTAGGAGCCCATTTCACATGGAGGGAGCATGTCAGAGACAAAGAGAGAGGAGAGAGACAGAGGGGGAGGGAGAGAAAGAGGGAGAGAGAGTGAGAGGGAGAGAGAGAGGAGAGGAAAGAAGGAAAGAGAGAGGGAGAAAGAGAGAAGGAGAGAGATGGGGAGAGAGTGAGACAGAGATGGAGAGTGAGAGAAAGAGGGAGAGAGAGGGAAAGAGAGAGGGGGAAGAGAGAAGGAGAGAGAGGGAGAGAAAGTGAGAGGGAAAGTGAAAGAGAGGGAGGGAGAGGGAGAGAGGGGGAGAGGGAGAGAGATGAGAGAGAGGGAGAGAGGGGTGGAAAAGAGAGGGAGAGGGAGAGAGGGAGGGAGAGGAAGAGAGGGGGAGAGGGAGAGAGGGGGGAAAACAGAGAGAGAGGGAGAGAGGGGGAAAAGAGAGAGGGAGGGAGAGGAAGAGAGAGGGGGAGAGAGAGGGAGGGAGAGAGGGGGGGAGAAGAGAGAGAGGGGGAAGGAGAGGGAGGGAGAGAGGGAGGGAGAGAGAGGGAGGGAGAGAGAGAGAGGATTAAAGATGGTGGGAAGCTTGCGCACTCTGCCTCGGCCTACCTGCTCCTCCTTGGCCAAGAGTTCATAGATCTTCTCATGGGCCTCCCCACAGAGCATCTTCATCTCCTCACTGGACTCTTGTAGTGAAATCTGCTCCCTTCGCAGTTTTCTGTTCTCCTCTCTCAGCGTGCTTACTTTTTCCTTCAGCTGAGTCCACTCGTTCAGGATCTGGCTGTGGAGGATGCTGAACATCACAAAACAAACGGTGAGATCCCTCTAGGCTCAGTCTGCCATTCCCACATCATCCATTCAAGGTCCCATGTCCACGACAGCTCCACACTAGAGACCACAGCAGCCACGTCAGAATAACTGAGTAGCTGACAAAAGCCAGAGAACAGCCAACTTCCAGAAAGACTCAGACTACTTCTGAAAATCCTGAAACTAAAAGGGAACCATGTGTTTCTGTGCACAGGGTTTGCCCCCCCTCCGACCCCACAGTTGCTTAACTGTTCATGGGATTGGGAAAACATCAGCAGGAAGGGAGGTGTAAGGCAAACATTCTCTGAGCAAGCACAGAACTCCCAATGGCAATATATTCCATTTATAGGTCCCATGGACTCAACTCTGTAAGCCTCTGCCAGAGTCACAGAAACCCACAGATGCCTGACTCCCCATCATGGTGCAAACAGTTTTTCTACCTAGAGGCTCCTGAAGCAGGCAGGACAATGCTGGGAGGGGCTCACAGACACTTCACTCTTGGCAAAACTGGTCCAAGAGGCCCAAGATAGGCTGCTTACTATGGCACAGATGGGCTAGAACAAAAGTCTCCACTTTGGATCAAAGACAAAACAATGTAAAAGCAGTCACTGACAAATAATGGTCCCAGTGAAGTCAGTCACTCACCTGCAGGAGACAGTTTCCTCAGTAAGCTCCCTGCACGTCTGCAACGCTTCACTAATCTCCTTGGGGAATTTCTGCAGGTCCAACATCACTTTTTTATGCTCCATATTCAGCATCTCCAGTTCAAAATTCAGTCTGTGGTAGGGCAAGGCCCAGGAGTAAAGAACCCCATGAACACAGGACTTAATGGTCATATGAATTCAGGCTGTACCTGGAACTACCCCAGCACAGTCAATGTCACTTTCTGGTACCTATGAACTAGGACAACCTGTGCTTGTTCAAGTTTCTGTCCTGGTCCCAGGCTAGCGGTCAGGGGGAGCAAAGGGAGTGAGTCAGGACTGCATGAACTCCATCACTGGACCTGGAGGAATAGACAAGCTCTCTAGGAAGTTCTCAGGAGTCTGGGCTCACCAGAAATCTATGAAAATGTATCTCCATTTCACTCCTAACCAGGTTTCAGTGCTGCCTCTCAGATGTTCTGTCTCTCAGATGCAGTCAGGAAAATTAATATGGGCATGGGGACACTCTGGAAGTACAGTCTCTGGTGACATGAGAAATGCTCTCAAGACAGTCACCAGAGAACTGGACATAGTGACTACCTGTTGTTCAAATCCTTGTTGGTATAAGTGGCCAGGATTCCTTGGAGTTCATTCCTTTCATTGGTCATCATCTCAAGTTGGCGGGTCAGTTTATCCAGCATGTTCATCTGTTGCTCCTGCTCAGTGGGAGATGTTGGGGTTGATGTCTTTCCAGTAGTCCCTGTAATCAGATAACCAATTTGTATAGCTCTTATGGCACAGGGCCAGGAGAGATCGCGTTAAGTACTAAGAAGAGGCCTGAGCAGTAGGGAATGCATGGAACCCAGTGAAAACCCCAATGAGCAGGACAACTTTCCTCAATCAGGGGGCTCATAAATCATGTCTGTCTCCCAATCACCATGGCGAGATATGAGTATCAGCGCCTATTGCAGTCCCACTGACCCTGGAAGGAAATGCTACCCAACTGTGATGTTTGGAGATATCAGCTCATATCTGATGGGATGAAGAAAAATACTGCTTAGCACCACCAATCCTTATTTCCCTGTGTCCAGAACTAACAGTAATTCAATGTCTGAGACCTCAGCACATGGATGGGGAGTTTTGCTCCCTGGTATTCGCATCAGATAACCAAGGAACTTATGAAATCCACTGGAGATGAATTGTAACAACACCCTACCATGACAACTCATTAATCTGTACCTCCTGCTGGCCTTCTTTGCCTCTCAAAATGAAATTAAGAAACTCCTAGAACAGCAGCTGCAGCCTTGACAATGACAACCCCTGGCTCTCTGCCAAATTAACCTTCAGAAATCTTGACTCTGGGTTTGCACTTTAAGGACCGAGAGAAGCATTATAGACCCATCTCTTCCAAAGATCCCAGCTACTGAAAAACATTTCTGGAAGGTCCAGCACAAGCCCCAACCCCTCCTTAGAAAGACAGAGCTCTCTGCCTATCAGTGTGCTCAATCTTGCCAACATGTCTTCTGGTGAATCCTATAAGTACTTAATGAATGTCCCAAGGACAGTAGGTGTTGCCACAACTCTGGTGATTTTGCAGAACATGTCAAGGGCTCTCCATGATACAACAGAATGTTCAGAGAAGGAACTGTTAGGGACACTGCTAACTGTCATCACTTATCTGATAACTATCTCTTCGCCAGTTAACCAAATGTCAAGCTGCCCTTTCCAGGAGCCTTCCCTGATACACAAGGAAAGATCTCCAGTACCCTCTCCTTCAAATCCAGAAATCTCTCTGATTCATTAGATTCTTCACTAGTTCATCTTGTAAAGGTAAAGACTCACTTTCCAAACAGTCTCCAGGAATGACTCTTCCTCTCCTTAAGATCTCTAATCAATAAGATGAGAAGTAAAGGATACTAAGAAATTAGCTCAGGATGATTGGGAAGGAAGACCAGTTCCATGAAGTAATCAAGCACATTGGGAAAGGTCCATGGGGCTGTTACAATGTGTGGGGTGGTGGGGGATTTTGGGTGTCCCATCAGACCAAAGGTAAGTCACATAGATAATGATGAAAACTTCCCCAAAACTTCAGCAGAATGCATCCCATCCATCATGATGTTAGCAAAAGCACGATCCCCTAGCGACAGGACACGCTGGAGATACCTAAGGACAGGGCATCCACAGGTGACCCTCAGACACCAAGAACAAATACTTGCAGGAAAGCTGATGGCTCCTTCCTGTACTCGAGTTATAGAAAAGATGACGGGCTAGTGAGAGGACAGGACCTCAGAAACCTTAGGGCTCACTGACATGCAGCAGTACTTGGTGACTCCTGCTCTGCAAGTGCCTATGAGGTAAAATGTGAGAACCTTCAGCTTTGTCCAAGGAACTTTATTCTTCCTATTATGAGTGACACAAAACCAAAGGAAATCCAATGTAGGTGAAGTGTAGGGCTATAACTGAAACCTCGTTCATTCCTCGGTGCTTCCCTACCCCTCAGAGTAAAGGCAGAGGGCCCCTAGCGAGAAGTTGCAGCACTGACCATTCCTGGCTCTTTGCCAAACTAACCACCAGAAATCCTTGACTGTATGTCTGCTCTTTTAGAAGTCAGAAGAGCAAGATATGCCCATTGCTTCTCAGAATCTCCAAGATCCTCAGGCCCAGTATGAAAATCCCAGCTGAAGCCTTCCTCCTTCCGGAAGCTCCCCATCCCTGCCCAGGACTCACTGTGCTTTCCCCAGAAGTATTTGTTTCTTGATGTGTGACATTGAGACTGAAGGCCAGCTCCCTTCTGCCTCTCTTTAGTCTGGTTATTATCTCCCTTCTGTCTCCCAAGGAGCCTGCCCAGTCTTGCCAGCATGGCTATGGGTGCAACCTGTAGGCAATGAACGGATGCCCCAAGGTCAGTTGATGTTGCCACAACACTGGTGACATCACAGAGAATGCCAGAGATCTCCAGGATACAGCAGAATGTCCAGTTGGGGTCTGCTGATGTCAATGGACAGCCATTACCTCCCTGCTATCTAACTCACTCCAAAATTACCTGAAACCAAGGAGCCTTATTAGGAGCCTCTCTAGGGCCACAGAGGAAGCACTTTGTCACACCCTACTTCCAAAGTCCTAGATCAATCTCTCCGCTGCATTAGAGACTTTGAGGTGAAGGTTCACTTTCAAAACACTGCACAGGAGTGGCTCTTCCCCTCCTTAAGATCCATACTCATTAAGATGAGAAATAAATGATGCTGAAAGATTAGCTCAGGACGATGGGGAGTAGGAGGGATGAGTCCTCTAAAGTGACAGCATGTAGGGGAAAACCTCAGACTTCTAGAGATTGTTGGGTTCAGAACAATTGAAACCACATAGATAGTGATGAAAATTTCCCTCAGAGTGTCAGTAGAACTCATCAACTATGAGGTTCTGAGTAAAGATGTGATTGGCTCTTGACAGGTCTGGCTGGAGCCACCTGAGCCAGGTGAGCCCACAGATATTGAAAGCAAACAACCTTAGAAATAGTATGATGCCCAAACTTTGAATCAGTAGATTGAGGAAAGAGTAGTGGCAAATCAGAGGATAATCTTGGCTATGTAGAGGCACCATGAGTTGGAAACACACACACACACACACACACACACACACACACACACACACACACACACACACACCAGGCACATAAGCATGGGGTAGAACAATAGAGATCACGGCTGTGGTGCCCAATCAGCAAACAAATGCCACTTTCCTTGTCTGGGGCCACCTGTGACATCACAGAAGAATTAGCCATTCCTTTGTCTGTAAAGAGGGTCCTTAAGGCATCCATGAATATTATATTTATCATTAAGTCTGTGCAGATTCTTCATGGTTGACACTTGCAGACCTCATCTTGGGCTGAACTTAAGACACACTTCCAGGAGTAGAATCATCTCATAGAAGAAATTAAAATAAAAATATGCATATAAAACTAAATTAACACAATATTTTAAATAAAAATGATAGCCTTGTCCCAATTATGTTAAATATACATCAGCATCTTTCCCCATAGGTAGGTACCAGAAATACCTGGAAAGTACATGTTAATTTATCAGGTATTTAATGAATGTGCTACTCCTGTTAAAAATAATAACTTCAGCTGAATGCACAGAAAAACAAATCCTGACCTTGGAATATTCCGCAAGGTGCAATTCAAAGTACAAAAGATGCAACTTTGGGACACTCTACTCAGATACATTAATAAAATATTCACTGTGTGATTGCCCTTGCAGAGAACCCAGGCTGAAGTCCACTCACCCACAAGGTAGGTCACAGCCCTCAAAAGTCCTGTATATTACATCTTTACTGACACATTCACAATCTATTCTCATGTGTAGGTTAATGTGTTATGCATTTTCTGGTAACATTCTTGTTGTTGATAAAGCTGAGATGTATGTAGTCCTGCCTGTCCTGGAACTCATCATGTAGACAGTGTTGACCTACAGATATCCAAATGACTCAGTATTCCTTGTGTTCAGATTACAAGTGTGCATCACCATGCTGTACCTTCTAGAGAATAGGTTCATCATAGTACTCATCAGGAGGATGATCCCAGTTAGAAAACTTCAAAATTAGACCTGTGAGGTTAGAGGGAACATAAATTACATGTTGAAGAGGGAATGCTACTTCCTTACTAAGTAAAGTACTGTAATGAAAACATCTCTTTTAACTGACTCCACTAACTGGCACATGCTTAGCATGTCCTGGAATTGACCAATGAGCGTGTTTATAGAATCATCTCTTGTGCTGAGGAAATGGAGTAATAAGGTACAGTTCCATCAACTCCTGACACGTCCTCCCTTGCTTCTAGAGTGCTGGGTTTGCAGGTGTGCCTACCAAGCTTGATAGGAGTTATGTAAGCCTTGTGAAACTGTCCTACCCAATAAGACAACACGACTCCTGTTTCTCCAGAAACAGAAGACAAAACAACTAGGAGGAAAAGGATATGAAAATTTGCCACTTTTCTCATAACAGTTCCCTCCTCCCTCTCTATTTACAACACAATTTTGAGCCTTTCCGTGGACTGGTTTTCTGTTAAATTGTCAACAGTTTTATGATATAAATACAAACACTAGCCTCACACCGCAATGCTATGTTCCTCTCACAGGAACAGCTGATCTCAACAATTGGTACAAGTTCAATGGTTCCACCAAACTGGCAGTTGGACAAGAGAAAATTAAATGATAATCCATTTGAAACAAAGTAGAAATCCACAACTTTTATGAGGGCAGTATTGAGAGGTTCATATCCCCAAAGTTAATGGGCATATTCACTTTTTGCTATGGTGAAAACTATTATATCATAGCAAGTGTAATGTTTCATCATTTTAAACATGAATTATTTTGTATTCTGTCATTTTAAATAAACTTTCATATGATGAATGTATGAAAATCTACTGATGGATACTTTAATATCATTTACTTATTTAGACAGAAGAGAAAGACAGACAGGCAAAGAGACAGATAGAGAACATACAATACTTACCATGCCATTCTGTCATTCTGTCACATGGAGGCCAAGGAGCAACTGGGAGGAGGATGGTCTCTCCTTCATCCTACCTAGCCATCTCAGTGGCCTTTTCCTGGTAGCTTTCATGATCAACTTGTGAATTTTCACAGAGGGTTTTGAGTGGTTCTGAAATTTAGAGAATATTAAACACCAAAATGAGTGTGAAAGATATGTACAGACACTAGTTTCAAATGACTGATACTCTATTAAAGCGAATCCTGGTGGTAAGAATTCTTGAAGGACTGTTGTCTGTCAAGCTTAAAGAAACTGCTTGTCCAAATTAATATGTGGGAAAAGTCAAAGGTGAAGTTGTGCTGCCATTTAGGTAAGCTGTTTCATAATGGAAACTGCCACTGCATACAAAAACAAACCAAAGAAGAGAGATTCCAGGATGAGTTAATGAAAGGGCATAGTCCATCTTTTGTCTCTGAGAATCTGTCTTGTGTTCTCCATGTGCTTTACCCTGATTACTAGTGCTGTGCATGTCCCTGTGGAGAGTCCAGGTTTTAGGATTTAATCAGTTAAAGTAATTTTCACACACATATAAATACAACATCATTATAAGTGTCAAAATGAAATTTCCAAGTTACTTTAGAAGTTAACTTTGTAAATACCAAAGTCTGAAAATACTTAGTGAAAAACATTCCAGTTAGATGAATTTCCTTGTGTATACCAGTCTCTAGATACTTTTCAAACAAGAACTACTGAAAAGATGATACAAAATGATGTGCACAGAACAGGTTACACTAAGTTTAATTTTAATTTCATAATTGCTCAAAATGTTGCATTTTAAGATTACATATGAATGCAAATCAGAAATTATACCCAGGGCTTTGATTTTATCCCATATGTGATGGTGCTCAGAATATGCTACCTGAATACATGGCAACTAGACATACTGAGTATTCTGACCATTAAAGTGAATGTAAGGAAGGACTCTGTCCATAAAACCTAGAAAGGGCTTCCTGGCCATTTTCTCAATCATGACAGAAGCTCCACATGTCCCTGCTTGGAGGGAAAGAGCAGCCTCGTGCCTAAAGACTGACAAAGACACAAACAGACATGAGCTGGAAGTTCTCACTATTTGCCACTCACCCGCTCTGCTCATGCTGGTTTATTTTGTCACACACTCTATAACACGGATTTTCCATCAACTCTAGTATAAATCTCAGCTCTAAGCACTTGTTCAGAGTTTCCCTTCTTTAGGAATTTTCTGGTGTTGAGAAAGTTTCTAGTAGGTAAGTCTTCATGCTTTCCTCTTCTTTTATATAAATTTTATTTAGATAAGAAGTGATCTTATTATACATGTCAATCCCAGTTCCCTCCCATTCTCCCATGTCCCCCACCAAGCCCCCCATCCATTCCCCATGGAGGATGAGGCCTTCTATGAGGGATCATCAAAGTTTGTCCTATCATTTGGGGCAGGACCTAGGCCCTCTCCTGTGTATCTAGGCTAAGAGAGTATCTCTCATGGGAAATGGGCTCTTGAAGTCTGTTCCTGAATTAGGGATACATCCTGGTCCCACTGTCAGAGGCCCCATAGGTTGCCCAGTGTTCCTAGCTGACACCCACTTCTGGGGGCCTGGTTTGGTCCTATGTTGGTTCCCCAGCTGTCAGACTGGGATCCATGAGCTCTCACTTGCTCGGGTCAGCTGTTTTTGAGGGTTTTTCCTGCATGGTCTTGACCCATTTATTCATCATTCATCCCTCTCTGAGGCTGGATTCCAGGAGTTTGGCTAAGTGCTTGGCTGTGGATCTCTGCTTCTGCTTCCATCAGCTACTGGATGAAGACTGTCTGGCTCAGGATGGGTAGGTATGTGATGGGGGAAGTCCTTCTATGTATTTATCTCTTTTATTGATTAATGAATGAAACACTGCTGGCCAATAGGGAAGCAAGATAGGTGGGACTAGGAGAGAAGGAGGATGCAGGGAAATGTAATCAAGGGTGGAGAGTCACCATGTGATCCTGGGAGGAGAGAACACAAGTCTGGCATTCTTGGTAAGATTAAACCTTATAAAAATATATATTAGGTATTATGGGTTAATAATTAAGTCATAGCTAGCCATTAAGAAACAATAACAAACGGCCAACAGGTTTATAATTAGTATAGTGACTTGTGTGTTATTTGGGGGCTAAAGGGGTGACAGGACCCAGGCAGGATTCTGCAACAGGTATGTTCATGGTCAGTCCTGAACATGGTCAATTGAAGCTGCTCTGAACACAGCTCTTGAGAGTGAGCAATGGCTACGTCATGTCCAAACGACAGCATGTTACAGCAGTTCTGCTCATTCTCAGGACATTCAGGACCCACTTCCATGATGTTCTCTATGTCTAGGGGAAGTGGTTGATCAGTTGTTCCCATTTAGAAATTACCATTCA